CTAAACTTTATTTCAAATGGTTTCGCGACGAATTAGACGTTGATATTTACAGAAAAGGTAGTTTATGACACATACTGCCCGAATATATGGTTTGCCAAAATCGACTTTTTCGCGATTTTTCGGTTTTCAAAGGCCGCGTCCCCCCTTAAGGGGGGATGCTACACCTTCCAAAAACTCTTTTATTTTTGCGAGTACCTCAGTCAAATTTGGAGAGCCTATGTAGATTTTACTGCTGATTTCAAAAATCTAATTCTTTTTTTGCTGTGACAATTAGTTTTAAAGATATAATGAACTGCGACTTTTTCAATTAAGGCCTAATTAGCTAATTAACTGTAACTTGGATATTGATGTGCAACCTATAGAACCAATTCGGTATGTTCACAGTGTGCAATAAAGTATAAATCATTGTTCTGGGCTATTTCGAAGCAAAGTTGTGGGATGTTGAATATGACATGAAAAATTTCCCCATCTACACTTGAAACAAAAGATCCATTTAGAGAATTTTCTCCAAAAATTATTACAATAAAACTTACTTTACGACACATCCCCTGCATTTATCTTCGAAACAAAAAAGAAATCGTAATGATAACCCAGATAGAACAAGAGATATTGCTCCGGCATAATGGGAAGCACATGAAAATTGTCGTTTTGAGAAATCGAGAAAAAACGTGGGCACACATTTTTATTGCAGAAGATGCAACAAGACAACCTCAAAACGCACCAGAAGCATAGTCTGAATGCATTCTGTGCTCATGCCTCCTCTTCACTAGCTTCCGGAGTTCCAATGAGGCTGTTCTTTTCTTGTTGGAGACAATGCTGCGACGGTGGTCTTTTTCTCTCGCTCTCCTGGCACCAGTACTTGTCGCATTCATGTCCATTTCACCTAAGATTGCCGTTGCAGAATTCAAATTGCCCGTGTTGAAGCGCAGCACTGCTTCTGCAACAGCTGCTTCAACAGCGAACAGGGACGCATGGTGCTCCTTGGGGGCCAAACTCCAGATTACCGAATGTAGGCTCTCGTTGGAGTTCTGCGTTTTGCCGCGTTCGCACCTCTGAAGCAGGGCTCTTTCCGAAAGCCGGGTATAAACCGGTAGTAATGCCTCTGCCACGTCTTTCGGTAGATTGTAGGCATGCCTGGGGTCGGGCTCACCCTTTGCTTTTGCGGCATTGTGCCGACACCATGAAGTTTCAGCAGCTGGGTACAGACTGTGGTCCGAGCATTCATCAGTGGAGGTGACGTGGCGGTATGTGGCCATCACAGCCTTTTGCATCTCGCCCACGTCACCTTCATGCGATTTCAGAGCCCGGCCATAATATGTGCTCAGCCTGGTGATCAGCTCACCTGTGAGCCTGCCTTTCCCACCAAGGCCTCTTTTCCCATCGCACTTTTGTTTCTGCACCAGGTTTCTCAATGCGGTGCCCATCCGTTTCTGTACATGATTAATACAGTCTTCCTTCTGCACGTCAATGTAACCATACACCTTGGCGTCTTGTATGGCGCAAAATGTCCTAGAGTCTCCATCAGACAGCATAGTTGTGTAGCGCAGGCCATGGCGTTCAAGCGACCTCTGAAATAGAATTAGAGCCGCCTCCACTTCCATTTGCCCCGCTTTGCTGTTGGTATTTTTTTGGCATTTGTGGTTAGCCTTCCATTCTTGATAGCCCTCACTACTAGGCTTTGGGCCCATCTCGCAGCCTAGGCAAAAGTTGGAAAGAACGACGTAGTCCAACACGTAGCCACTAAATAATTCGATAACTGTGCCCACGCCGATGTGGGAAGAATGGCCTCGCGTCTTCCACGTGCCGTCGTAGCTAACGGCAATATTGCCCCGGTGGCCGAAGCACAAGTCATCATAAATTGTTCTAACCTTTTCCGCACATTCGCTCATAGCGGACTCAGCCGCTCGCGTTGCAGCGGGTGCCAGCGTGTTCTTCAAATGCCGCTGAAACGTCTTGTGGTGCATACCGCGATGTGAGATGCCCATTGTTGCGAAAATATCGTTCATTTTCGTTTGGCCGTTGCCGGTAGCCACCATCGCCCTCGAAGCGAGAAGATTTACTTCAAACGGATTGCACGTTTTCGTGCCGTTCGCGCGGGGCGAAGTCCATTCATTCGCGATCTCGCCGCACCTTTCACACTGCACTAGCACTTTCACGGCAAGTCCGTAGTCCCGATCCCCTCTGACGATCGTAGCCGGTCCGTGGCAGGCTTTGCAACACAAGGCACCCATTATCGCGTTTAGGATATCTAGATGCATAAGCAGATAAGGAGCAGCGTGGTCCGAGTCCTGTGCGGTTGCCTCGCTACAACTCGCGGTGAAAAAGTCAATTTTCCGTGCAGTTGCTGGCGCCGATGAAAGCCGGTCGAGCGTCGCTTTCTCCCGGGCATGATTTTCTTCAACTTCGGCGTTTGTCACCACCTTGGTGTCGATTCGTAGTCGTCCGGAGTTCGCTTCACCGTCATCGTCGTCGGAGGCAACGCGCTCGGTCGCACCATCGCTGAACGGCCGCGGAGCGTCGACACATCGTTCGTCGGAGTCAACCAAGGGCTCTGATGACTTCGTAGACTTTCTCCCACGACCTTTGCGTTTCCTGCGACCAAATGCGTGCACGGTCCGATACTTTTTTGCGTTTCCAGGCATGGCGATACGATCAGAAGCTTCAGAGTGCTCTGCCGATTTCGAGGCGTCACAGCGGTAACCCTTTGAAAATGGCGTCGGGTCGCGTATGCAGGCGCAAGCCGCGAGCTTCCAGCCAACCGGAAAGCGCCATTTCAGTCACGTGCGCCGTTTAGCCAATGGCAGTGAGCGCGGCTCTTCGTCTTTGAGGCCCCGTTTTTCGAGCCGGGGAAACGCTCAATGTTGCTTACTGAATAAAAAAAACAGCTGAAAACGCGTTCTTTCAAACAAGACCAAAATGGCGCCGATCGAGCGCGTAGTTCCCGCGTATCGTAGAGCCGAAACCTGCGCTATTCGCCCTCAATTTAAAGGGCAGGACGCCCGTTTTCGGTTTTTTAAAGTTGAATAACGATAAAAGTTGATGGTATTCGGCTATGAAATTTTGTAAATAGGTGCGCAATGATGTCGGGAACGCGAAAAGAGGGTCCGCGAAAACTCGATTTTTTGGCTGATTTTCGGTCCGGAAGTGCCGCGTCCCCCCTTAAAATAGTTTCAAGTTTCTAAAATCATAATATAATATGAAATTTATTACCTTCCTTAAAGATGCTATGTAGGGCAGCGTGAATATTTGAACTTTCAAACATTTTAACAGCAGTGTTTGCTATTCAATTCAATTTACACTGGTGTTACGGCCAAAAGTAAGCTGAAGGGAATTCGTTCGAGGCTACAGTAGCGTGAGAGTGAAAAAGGTGGTAATAAAAGCAAGTGCACCTTGAGACATGGCATTCGTTTCGTGTCCTGCGTAAAAGGGGTGGTATACGAGACGCCCTTTTCGTGCGAACACGTTTACGTGGGCCAATCAGGGCGATGCCTCAATATCCGTCTACGCGAGCACCACAGCTTATTGCAACGTATGCCATCGTCCCACTTGGCATTACATTGCCGTCAGTGTGGCTGTACTCCCCTGCTTGAACAAACATCTGTGCTCTTACGTCACAGGGAGCCACTAACCCGAGAAACAGTTGATGCCTGCATCATCCAAAAACATGACGCTAAATGCATGAGTCAACCTTCTGTATTCCTTCACGATAGGGAATTTTCATTCCTAATGAGCATTTTTTCTTAGTTTCACCGAGATAAGCCTGCACAGTTAATGTATTTTTCGTTAATAGGGTTTTTTCGAGGAGTTGTAAGTTTTTCTAAGGTTTCTTCATTTCAGTTACGCATGCGCGTTTACCTCCTTGTTTTCTTAAATGTTTCTTGTTTTTGTATGATATTGGTAGTACTATATCTGTAAAAGAAGAAGGTGTGAGATGCCTGCGATTTAAGTTCATGTATATTCATGTGTGTTTAGAAATAAACGTGGTTTGAAGTTAGCGCTTATGTTGTCTACGTTTCTTTCTTTTCTCTCCGTTTTTTGGCGCTAAAATATCGAAGTCATTCATCTTTACCAACCCACCCAACTCGCCGCACTCATCTCACTGGAATTTTACTATTCAAACTTCCATCCCAGACAACGATGTAATAGACAAATAGGTATAAGAGACAGCAGTGTGCCTACACTGAAACAGGGGTTGATAAGAAAACGCATATGTGGCTCCCTGCTTATTAGAGACACCTCTTATAAGAGACAAGAACTGCTCCCAGTGCATGTCTCCCATAAAGTGGTTTGACTGTAACAGTTTACAAAAATAGAAAATAAATAAATGGTGAAAAATCTTGTGCAGTGTGCTTGGTCTAGCGTTGTGGGACACCGACGGACGAAACTGCAAGCCCCTTCCACCAGTGCTCTGAGCAGTCGCTGCGCAACAAGCTGCACGACGAGCTTGGCTGGCTGATCCACTTCTGCTGCGTAAAATGTCCATCCGCTGTTCTGAGTCGTCAGCGGGTGATGGTATTCAGTGCTTGCAACAAAGCACATTGCAGTTTTTTCGTTTGTTCTTGCATGTCCACTGGCATATTGTCCTTGCATGTGAAGTTCAAATTCTCCTCGTGCATCGTGGCACCTTGGTCGGAGCTGGGCCTAGCCACAACTTCAAGAAGTACGCTAGATTTCGGTGTGCGTGGCAGCGGTGCAGTGTTGTGAAGTACATACGTCATGCTCTATCATGAGTAAAAATATTCGCTTCACAATGATCTTTCTTGAAAACCCAGGAATAAGACGAATTTTTCAGCAACTAAGAAGCCTTTCTTTTTGAGAAATCCGTACTGATTTCCTAGTGGTTTGGTGCCAGAAATGAATGGCAGTCGTTTTTCTCTTTCTTAACCCTTCGCCACCATAGAGGTTTCCGCAGAACTCATTTACAGCACTCAGGCTTTTTTTGCATTCTGAATTTTTTCATTTGCACAGATCTAATGGTAAGTACGGAACCCACAACTCACCCGACGTCTGCTTCAGCTTCTCAGCCTGGAAAGCAAGGGCTGACGGCCGGAGCACTATCCGGCTCCCGGATGATGACACTGCGCAGGCATTGTCTGCAACAAATGAAATGCCATCACTGTAAAAAAATGGAACACAAGCCTTGCAGGGATGTACGTGTGCTTCTTTTAACTTTTTGTCTCGTGCAGGCTGTTTCACGTTCAGTATGTACCAAACTGGCCTACAAAAGAAATGTGTTGCAAGGATGTTAAAACTTCACTGCATTCTACGCCCATACAGCCAAGGTCCACAATGGTACCAGAATTCATTTAAGAGAAAATTTAGAATAGAATCACATCAGAGGTTTAACGAGCCAAAACCACGACATAATGAGACGCGCCGTTGTGGAGGGCCCCTGAAATTTCGACCACCTGGGTGTTCTTTAACGTGCACTGACATCACGCAGCAAGTCGCCTTCATCGAAGTGTGACTGGCGCAGCCAGAATCGAGCGTGCGACCTTCAGGTCAAGGTCAGTAACTAGGCACCATAACCGCTGACCAACAGGGTAGACTTGGGACACGAGTACAGATTCAGCCCAGTACTACAACAACCTTGCACGCTACTGCACTGACAAAGGCAGCTGACCCCTTAACCTGCTCCTCACAAAATAGGGAACGTCACCTCGAAAAGACACGGGGCTAACTCGACTGCGAGCTCTGGCAGTTGTCAAAATTCGCATTCCGCCATCTTGTCCAGTTGCCGTTTAGGCAGGCTGGTGTTCCGTAACTAGAACACAAATTCGCGAAACATCGAAAGCATGGCCCACGTGAAGAGACAAGACGGCATTAACATTTTGCTCAAGACGTCTTAGCTCTCGCCAGTCTCTTTTTCAAGTGTTTTGCATATTCTTTTATATGTCACACAAATTCAAGCTGCAGTCATGCCCATATAAGCAGTGTTTCAGCAGATCCCGGCAATATTTTCATCCCTGTTATTCAAAAGCAGGACGCAGGCTGCTGTGAGGCCAGTTGTAGGTTTTAAGCGTTCTACACTTTACAAGGTATTTTTTTGTAGAATGGTTGACAGGCGGGCTCATTGCTATATACATATTCATAATAAAATATTGGGAGCACAAATTAATGGGATGCAAAGAAGGAGACAAACGAGCAAAGTTTGTGCACTCGTTTGTCTCCTCCTTTGCGTCCCATTAGTTTGCACTCCCAATATTTTATTATGAAGGTATTGTTTGTTGAACATAAGGTGTATCTTATGACGTAAAGATTAGGCACTGCAATTGCCAACACAAGTGGTTTTCAAAGAATTGAGTAGTCAGCAATTATCGAAATCTGATTCTGTCTTTCTGTCCACTATAAAGTGGTGCCCCTTAAGTCGTTTCCGCAAAATCCTCCCCCCACCACTCCCCTAATTTTTCTGGGTTACTCACCTGCGCCAAGAACTAAGGTGGGTGGAGCAACAATGGGCTTTGACTCTGCAAGGAGAGATAGACAACAAATGTAACAACTGTTCAGTTGATGCAGAGCAAACGTAACGAATACCGCTCTCCATTTTTTTAAGATAAAGCTCCGATTCAGGGCCATCTCCAACTTCTCTCTCTAAAGCTACATCTAACACCGACGTGCTCACAATGATGTTACAGCTGCACCATTTCGAATATTTCTGTTGCCTCTAATAGAAAAACTTTCATTTGAGAAGTGACTGCATTGTGACTTACCAAACCAGAAATTTACAAATTTATATTTCGAAAGCTATGAACCCTATGCAGATATTACAGTTTCATGAACAGTATCTCTTGGTGCATCTTAGGCTGAGAAACGAGATTTTCTCAGTTCACAGCTTAGGCAAAGTCACTATGATGTTTACATGGGCTTCACAAATGTCCTTCTCACAAATAAGCAGCCATTTTTAAGGCTTCTGTTAAAGTAATTTGCCTGATTAGCAGAGTCTTTTATTGGAATGAGAAGTTAAACAAAAATATTTATTCAGTTTCAGATTATTTGGGCCAGACATAAAACAAATTAGAATGCTTTTATGCCTGCGGGAGCTTTCCTCCTCACAAACCGAGTGGCATATTTCAGAGGTGAATTATTACAATTTTTTTAAATGGAAGATTTAGGCGCACTTTACAGAACTGCAATGTCTTGCAACTGTTTCATTTCATTTAATTTCTTGCATACCAGAAGAGGGTTATGCCTCTATTACTAAAAAACAAGTGCTCACTCCCTTACCTTTGTTTTCTGTACTGTCTGCTACGCTCCTCGTCGGTGTGGTTGTTTTGATGGCGAATGGATTTTGCTGGATCCGAGACAGCCCCAGCATGCCGGCTGTTGTAGGGACAGATGACAAAAAAACATGGCCAGGGGAGGCAGTTGTAAAGAAAAGTTGTATTTTAGAGATCGAGTACCCCGGACCAGGCTTCAGGGAACTCGTCAAAGCTGTGTTTTCTCATTTCCAAACGATGCTTTATTTTTGCCAAACCGTTGGCTAAAGAGCCACCCAGATGTGGCAGCCATTTGGATACCGAACAACAATGTTCATAGCTCGTGCGTACACCCCTCGCCAGATGTTTGACTACTGCCTTGTACAGACTCATTAACTTGACCAATCTGGCACCAAAGAGATAGGTTCAAATTAAGTGAGAGGTAGAACAATACGAAAACATATAGTTGAAACATTTCTGAGGATTTGTCTCAAGAATTCTCTAATTAGGTTCACACTTATGATGAATTATCTCATTTAACCAAACTAACTCATTCACTTGACCAACCTGGTACCAATGAGACAGGTTGATGTTAGGTGAGATGTAGAACAGAACAAAAGCCTACAGTTGAAACATTCGACAAAATGTGCGCCTCAAAAATTCTCGAATCAAGTCCACACTTACGATGAATTCATCACCTTTTTCAAAATAAAGTATGAACTACGGTGGAAATCTAACATGCCAGTACATTCAAGGCACTACATGTTGCTCTCTGTAAGGATCATAAAGTTTTTATATTTGTCAAATGATCCTCGGACAATCCTTATCAGGAAGCAAAGAAACGCGCAAATGCTCAGACTAAGCACTTTGCCAGTGTGTCTTGTGGCTGGCACATATTATTCTCGAGAATGACAAGAACATGAGATTCAATTTGTTGCCATTGAATTAAAGCGTAACCACCATTGCACCGAAAGCAGTGCATCACCTTTCACACTATGCTCGTTATGTCACCATTCGTGGTTACCATCTTGCAATAGCCATAGAGACGGCAAGGCTGCTGCAAATGCACTATTAGATGTGGTTTGATACGAGACTGCAATCACTGTAGCAATTTTTCGATAAACTTATTTTCTTTTTGATGAAAAGTGCTCGTAAGGTTTAGGTACGTACTAGTCATTGTAAGCTGCCGCATCTACCACGCTGAGTTAGCTATCTTTCCGGGTCAAGCCAAAAAAAAACAAGCGTCTTCAACAGGAGATTAACTTTGTCTAAAGCACTGACCGTACTATGAGTGCCACCAAGAAAAACCTTTTGCTGCTCTACATGCCCAATTAACGATAATATTACAAGACACGCCGTCGCGGAAGGGTGGCCAGTATATTTTGATTACAGGGTGTAGTTAACGTGTGAAAGTTAAATAAGAAAAAAAAAAAAGCAGTGTCGCATTTCACCTCCATTGAAACACAGCAGCCTTAGGTGGGATGCAACCCCTACCCTTTAGGTTGGCAGCACAACATGATAGCTGCCGAACAAGTGCAGGCGCAGTACCACTTTAATGGATAAACCCTTATCCAACTTCAAGGAGTTCTCACCTCCGGACGACAAACAGGAACTGGAGACAAGTCCAGCGTCTCCGTTGCCTGGACTGCCACCTGAGAAAGGCAAGGCGTGCCACCGAAAAAAGAAAAAAAAAAAATTCAGTCAAGCACAACTGCATTTTGAGCAGTCACCAACACAGCTTCACGACTCCCTTGGACAAATCAAAGCCCGTAATATGCAGTAGCCTGTAACACTTCGGCTTATATCCTAGAAAATTGGCCTCATGAAAATATTTCACGAAGCCAAGAGTCTAGGTAGAAGCTGAAACAAATCAGCTCATTAACTGTGGGAGGGGTACTATATAAAGAAAAAAAGGAAGTGACTGAGTTAGTGGCACATCTACCTGCTTGTAAAAAAACGAAATTAGGTTTTCGATATCAGATGCCTGTAGCCTGACAAGTGGTCGCTGCGATATGTGCTCACTGCATCTGCGCACTATTATGCTTGTATTTCATTGCTACCTTTGCAACAAATCGGTTGCTAGTAGCGCCTGTCTGTCTTCCGTCTCTCACATGTGCACGTTTCTTGCAGCAATAGAATTGCCATGTTCTGTGACACCATGTGGTTTTGCATTTGGGTGATGTAATGAAATCTTGACTAACTGCAATTAAAATCTTTGCATCTCAACACAACAAAACCACTGGCCACGTTGAGGGCCTTTAACAAGCAAAATGGACACAGCAAGCACTACAAAATTTTTTTTTCTTGTAAAAAAATGGAGCCTCTTAAATTCTCAATGCCTTTTTTTTTAATAAACAATGCTATCCTTAAAAAGCAGTTCCAGTTACTCATACGTGAAAGAAGAGTTAACACATGTGCAGTCCCTGCGCGATCAACTGATGTTTGTATTAATTGGGCTTTTCTTGACGTCTAAATACACTGAACAATAACAATAAAAAAATGGCAAAGAACTTGTACAACATATGAGGCTGCACTCTTAAGCATCTTTCTCAGTTAATAAAACTGCCATGAAAGAATACTCATTTTTCTAAACGACTCTGCCGCTGACTATCTGCTGCACCAAATCGTATAGTCTTCTTCTTTGATTTCGTTGCATTTCCCGACTTTGGCATAATGTGCAGATGTAAGAACAACCAGACTGCGCTGTTTTCTCGCGCCTTGCTTTTGATACTATAAATATGTGCCAACTTGCTCGACTTTTCATCCATTTAACAAATGTCAGACAACAACAAGAAATCTCAGACAACAAGGAATCTACTAGCCTCTTCAGGTAACACTGCTTTGAAAAACTTTCAAGGCAGCTTGTCTTCGCATATATTTGGCATTTGTGTGTGCTACAGCAGCCAAGCTTTAACTAGAGCGTGATCATACGCATTTGCAAAATACTTATGTGCCAGCGAATGTAGAAGGGTACAGACGTTTTCACTAAACACTACCATACAAAGCCACCAGTTAACGAGCCAAGGAAAGTGTGAAGGGCAATACTTGTAGCTTTACGCTGAAGTGTAGCAGTTATCTGTAACTGTACGAAAAAAAAAAGAAATATAGTTGACCCAATCCCTGTTACGAGTGTCTGTTATTGAGGCTCACACCTCAGCATTTGTGCGGTGTTGGGTATTCCTTAGGTTATCTTTGCACTTCTTACCACTGCTGGCACACGATGTCGGGGATCATGTAGAAAAAAAGAGTAAGGTTGACATCTGCTCTGTGAGATGCCGCAATGGCCTCAGTCGCTTACAAGGAAACGGCCTGCTGTTTCAGTGAACCCATACAATTACTTTTATTATTTAAACTGTCAGTTAATTGGACATCATTTCATGCAAACTATCACGATAACAAGTATCTTAGAGAGTTCAACTTGAACCAGAACCACAGATTTCATAGTAGCTTTATTCTAGAGAAGATGCTTTTCGGAAAGCCAGAATAAAGCGATGCACCTGAAGTGCTTGAAAAAGAGACAGGAGTGTCACTAATAAACAAATTGCAGCTCACTGGAGCCAAGCACACGGCCTCCACATTACGCAGACAAATGCACTACCAACTGTGCTATGGCAGGAGCCGCTCCCTCATCCACTTTTACGGGTATTCATATACAGTGCTCACATGCTGAAAGCTGACAATTCAGGAGAATGTAATACACACACTTTCATTTCCACCGTCTTCAGTTCTTGTTTTGTCAGCACAAATTCTACATAAATCAACATTAGAGCCAGAATGGCCCTTAGAAGCCAGATTTGTATTGACGCGATGAGGTGTTTAATGCCATGTTTCAATTCAGGAGCACTGTATGTTAATCTTAGCAGGGTTTTGCCAGCACTGCTCATACCCATTGTAGCAAACATGAATAAGATTTTATTTATGAATACTGATGCATAGTATGAATTTACTTCAGGAACTGGGCAGCCAACTACTAAATGCAGGCATGCCATCCAAAGACATCAGACCTGCCTGTTTGGCACAGGTAACAGATTTACCATACAGCCATCAAGCTGTATTTAGCACAACATTCTCTACAAGATCCAGCCATTTTTTACGACAGCAGAGAGAAATGGGGCATTATTAACAGAGGTTAACCAATAGAGACCAGCATGATGACCTAGTTGAGCTGCAATAGACGAAGAATAGAGCTGGAGAGAAAACAGACAAATGCACATGTGTGTGCTCTAGCCCACGTTTCGCAATGCATACATCAATAAGCGCAAAATGAGCGAGGCGGAAAGCAAGGCCATAGAAAGACAAATAAAATGTCGTCCACGACCGTTCCCGTGGTAGAAAAAGTGCAGAAGCTGTAGGACAATACTGTAGCAACTGAAGAAGAACAAAGCATGTGTTGAGAAAAAGAGAAAGAAGAGGCTGAAAGAACAGTGGCAGTCAGTCATCGAGTGTGGGATCGAGCTAACAAAAGTGAAACCTCTGCCTTCGCAAATATCATTACTTTCAGTGGAAGTAGCCAGTGCTACTTCTGATAAAGGGACATTTTAAGCAGGTGATGGCTATTTGAATCTAGGCAATACACTGCTCACTGGTGAAGCCCAACGGGACATCTTGCTTGGTCCCTACAACCTTAATTCAAGCTTTGTTTTTTTTTTCAATATTACGTGTCTGTCCATGCCTCATATTGCACCAAGATAGCTTACAAAGTCTGGAAGGCAGAAAAATTTCTCATGTCAAAGTGTTTTGTTTTGCTTAATGGACCACAAAAATAGACCTAAACAAAAGGTAATGTTGATGAAAAGCATGAAAGCATGCACATTTTTATGCAAATTTTCATACACTTTGCTTTATTCACATCTACATTACAATTAATCCTTAGGAAGTACACTTGATGTCTTTTACACTTTCCTTGGCTTTGTTATCTGTTAGTTTTCACTAAGGTTATATCAAACAAAGAAATGAGTTCCCTAAGTTGCATTGATTCACCAAAGAAATTATGTGGTTCACTTCCTGCATGCTCATGCAAGATATTAAAAAAAGATTATAGTGGCATTGCACAGCTGCACTCAGAAATGCTTGCCATTCCAGGTGAATGTATGCATATTCCTTTCCAGACGGTGAAAAGCAGTTCTCCGCTTCGCTCATTTAGTATGCCCAATCCTTGATATAAATCTGCCCAACTTTTAAACTGCATACAGAGGGCTATGCCGGTGATTCTATAGCTTGATGCGAACTGATGTATTGTGTCTAGTGACTTACAGATGCCTCGGCTTTCAAACTAAGACGAGAATCAACTTAAATTATTGCGTTTTTCTAGTGTTTCGGTGATTACTCCTAGTATCTAAATGTAAACGGCCTCCTCCTAGGGGAAACACATGTCAGTGTATGCTAGCTATTTGCAGTTGCCACACCTGCCATCGTTTGGGCACATGACAATACTGAAAGTTAGTATTATTAGTGGCTACACTAGTGAAAGTTAGTATTATTAGTGGCTATACTAGTAAGAACTATACTGGGAGCTTGTTGGGCATGTCATTTTTGTTATATGTGAGGAGTTTCCGGAAAATAGCGCAGGTCACATTATCAGAATTTATAATGTAGTCTGCAAGGTTTTTGAAGGCTTTCCCAAAAAGCAAGGTGAGAAGCAATTTGAGAATAGTTAATTAAATACTGTGAGGCTTGGATGCCCTCTACACACGAGAAGTGTCAGCAGCTTAGTAAAGAACACATACTAGACAAGTGGTTAACTAACCAGGTTGCAACATTTGATAGCAAATATACAAAGTTACAGTGACTGCAATGCAACCATACGTAGCATTTGAAGATTTTATGACTCAAGCTTATCAGCAGGAAACTCTTCAAACAGAGCAGTTGAGCATACTTTCCATAGTATCAAGAGAGAGACCTGTATGTGATCAATGAGGCGCGCGTCAAGTGTAACGACGGAGGGGCCTCAATGCAAACACATCAAGGCAATTTCCTGCATTGAAGCTAATGATGAAGGCGAGTCCTGCCTGTTGTATCTCTGATGTTGTTTTGAATAAGACTTGCACAAGATTCAGCCGCACACTGGCCAACAGCTCCGTGCTCCGAATGTCAAGTACTATTGTAGCATGAAAGCAACACGCCAAAGCAAGCTCTAAAACTTGTCAGTTAAATAGTGGGGCCGAAAATCACCCTGACGCACCCAGGATTAATTCAGAAGCTGGCAAGACTGCTCTTTCATGGCATATCAGTCATCCGATCCACGCTCGATGAAAACGAACCGTCAAAAACACTCGGCCTCACGTTACAAGCTCTGATCGCGACGGTGGCGCAAATATCTATTCTTTTTCTCCAACAAGTGTCTTACACACGGCACATTCACCGTCTCATTTCCGATGCCTGCGCTAAAGAACAAACTCAGTGCAATACTACAACACACCGCCTTGTCAACGCTGTTCTCACAATGCTAGATTGCTCTATCATATCGCGGCAGATTCGACGGCGCGAATCGTGGGACGGAGATACTGCTCATGGAAGAGACGCGCCTTTTTAAACACCCGGAGAAAGTTAACCATGCGGACCAAGCGAGAAGGGGGAGAGAGGATCTTACGACGTCTGCTGTCAACGCCACCGCAAAAGCAAGAAAATAGGCCACAGCGCAGGCTCTGGGCTGCGTATCTGTGTAGTAACAGGGGGCCCCTATCTCTCGCTACCGGTGCACGGCGCGTCACGTCTACACGCACAACAGCTTGCTCGTCGCTTCAACCCGCAGGCAACGAACAGACAAATCGTGCCTCGTCATCCGGCACTTTCCATTACCCGGCCACTTTCAGCAGCAGCCCGCAACAACAAACACAAAATAAACAGGGGTGGCCCGCAAACGCAGCAAAAGTCACGTCGCCGATGCTACAACCCAACGACGCGCGCGCCAACTAAACAGGCCGTACACCTTATTTTAGGCGCACTGCCGGCGATTTCGGAACGCTGCTAAAGGAAACCGTGGTCGCTTTTCCTGTAGCTCGCAGTCTGAAAAGATGCCGCGGGCTCTCGTGGGACAATCTCGGAAGCCTTGCTGGGAATAACGTCCGGTCCGCTTCGTACTGAAGCCGCGGCATTGTACTGCAGTAAACACGCCCGCAAAACGCGGCAGGAGCAAGTCGCAGTCGCGTCATTGTTCGCCTAGAGCGCCTTTAATTATTTTTTTGTTCTCGTAGCCTACAGCGAAAAACGCTACGGCAGAATTCTGGCAGCATCTCGTAGCGCGCTCGTCCACCACGGGTTTCGACACACCACGCGTGGCGGCACGCGAAACGAAAAACAATGTAGCGGTACCGTCCCGACGGGCGCGATCTGAAATCCGAGAAACGCAGCTTCGCTGCCGAGACGAAAGGGACAGCGACAATCCTTTCTTTTTTTGCTCTATTTCCATGGGTGAGCTTACCTTTCTCCGCCATCTTGAGAAGCTCCCACGGTGTTGTTGTTTTGTTGAACGACTCCGACACGCGGTGACGCTGTTGTCGCTTTTCTTCCTTGATGACGATGGCACTAGGACAGAGAGAAATGAAAATAACAAGCACTGTTATGGCAATAGGGTGTAATGGCGGCCATGACGTCATCTTTGATAATTCATGTCTTAGAGGCTCTTAATTTGCTGCCTGCAGGTGTGAGAACGTGAAACGCCACACACGTCATAGCCGTCTATTTTTGAACTGCACGGGGCTCAAAAATCAAAGCCTGTGAAATATTTGCTGCTCCCACACTGGAGCACCTCGCGTCGCCGACATCAACGTGGCGTCCACGTAAACAAACTGCGTCACGAGCAACGTTACTAGTCACGAGTTTGTGTTAACTGGTTGCTGGCACGCGCATTGCGCTACTTGCAATTTCTTCCTTCGTGCGGGTGGCTTTGTGTGTGCTGGCTGTAAATGGTAGTGTATAGGTGTTCTGTGTGGCTGTGCTCTCTCCCGAAGTTCGATCGTCGTGCCCGTTGGCAGATGTTACGCACCACCTCTTTAACTCTGTTGTTACTGCGACACTAACTGCTCGACAAGTGTATATATGCTGGGGGCTTATTGCGAGGTCGACTTTTGCTCATCGCGGTCACAGTTCGGCGTAGCTATGCACAGATTTCGTGCCGATGGCCCTCGCCGGTAAAAAATTAAAATTGAGCTTGTGCCGGTGTGCGTCCAGATTGGACGCCAGGCCAGAGCAGTCGCATTTGCGCACTGCATTTCAAGCCTGGCAACCACAAAAAAATTTCCCCCGGACTCGTCTAAGGTCGCTACATTCATCTGGGGCCTTTAGATTTCTCATCGGTGCAGCGCCACCTACATGCTGATTCCATCCAGATTATTCACTCTGCAGCAGATCCCAAGCAGCTTCGACTAGAGGTTCGTACTGCTGGAGTATGGTGCTCTGGCATATTGATAGTATCGGGTGTGCCTTCTGTTATCGCACAGGCAAGCACGGACGCGCTTGAGGCAGCTGTGTCCCCTCCCATGTCCGTGGACCTCGGCGCTGACGTTGAGATGAACTAGGTTGAGAAGGCAGGTGGTGGGTTTTGTTTGCGTTCTGGTGACTGGTAACGAGTTCCACGGCGGCCGTTTCTTCCACTGCTCGTGCCCGATGGTGCACTTTTCATTGCGGTATTGGTGATGCAATGATGCAGGCGCACGTTTGGCTCTGGCACAAGCTACGCAGCAGTGCCGATCGTCTTCCAAGTATTGGAATCCATGGCAGGCAAGCTTGGTTGCCATCGAAAGGAGGTGTATCTCTCCGCTTTGTAAAACGTTTTCTCGGTACCGGGGAAGTGACAGTTCATCAAGTCGTATTTGGAAACACTGAGCTACGCTTGCACTTCCGTGAGTTGGAGCTTAGGCCGCGTCCCGCAAGTGAAAGAGAGATGGTTGACAGCATTCTGAAGGTGGAGATCGAATAAAAACAAACAAAAAGAGCTACTGCCGTTTCAAGACATTTTAGTTTGGCCTGATATGCAGCCCCATATTCTTTACCTACAGCATAGTAAGACGGTTTATGAATCAATAACAGTTGTCCCATTCAATACATTTTATCACATGATTGGATGATTTGGAACTAGCTGCCCACAAGTTTGTTTAAAAAATGGTATTTTTACAGCACGTGCAGCTAACAGCAAGCAATCTACAGTTTTAAATATCAAAAAAACTTGCGTAACTATTACATTAGAGCTAGACTGAAGCCAAATACCTGACTACTTCTTTCCACAGGGGAAGTAACTGCGGACGCACAAGTGCAGCGCTGAGTTGAATCGCGCTCCAAGGCTATTCAAGTGGGGCTCAATGGTAGCCCAAAAGCAGCTACAAGCCCATCATTGAAGAAAATGTGTGGGTGCCTTTGATGTCATTGTAATATATCTAATTATACGAACAGTCCTGAGAATGATGCACTCATGCCTGACTCATACAAGCATGCCAGACTGACCTGGAGAGCTTCAAGAAAAAAATTTTAATGGAGGAGAAAGGAAGCGGTGCTCAACACCATCAAAATTGAAGACGTCTGTGGGACGTGAAGAGGATGTCCATCAATCAGCTGACGAGCAGGTCCAATTGAAAGTGGTTAGCCACGTCTAACAAGACTCCTGTCTGCGAAAAAAAAAAAATCGTTGTCTTCGGATGACGACGATGGTGGCGATAATATTGCACAACACGTGCAGGCGTAGTAAACTAATGGTGAATTCCATTGAGAGAATAGGAGTAGAGGGGCAGGGCACTGAGGAGTAAGGGGCAGAGCACTGAGAGCCAGGACAGGAGTGCGCCGCGTTCCCGGAGGGCAGGTGAGAAGGTGACGAGTAGGGAGACCATGTGACTGAAACATTCCAAACCTCGGCATATTCTTTGTGCGGCAGCAACAAAATACGCGTGACGTCGGTCTGCCACATGTTCTTCATTATCCTAATATCTAGTATATTTGCAAATGACTCATTCGGCAAACGTCCAGCTCTCATCGTAGCCATCCGTACAAAACAGCGGTGTCAAATGGTCGCTACCATTGCCGCCACGCTCGCCAGCTGAAGACAAATTCGGAAACCGTGACGTTCGGGGCCACGTGACTCGTGGTACTCCGCTTTTCAGACGAGAGCACTACAAACTGCTCTCGGCTTAGCAAAAGCACTATCGCTCCTGCACTCCCGCAGGTGCAGGAGCACTCTCGATGACAGTGCTCCTGCACCTGTTCGACCACTGAAACACGCCGGCTCTGAAGAGAGCCCTTTCAGTGTGCTTTTGAGTGCTCCTGCTCTTTCAATGGAATTCACCATAACAGTGCAGCACCCATGGCCCAGTTTTTGCGTGGTCACGTGGCCAGCTGTGTTTGCCCAGACACCGGAACTGCTCGTGGCTAGCTCGGTGCTCTTTGAAACCGTGAGTGAGACTGGGGTCTCTAAAAGAACGTCTCTAAATAAATAACCATTGCGCACTCACGCAAACGAGGTTTTCAGCCGTGGCAAGTGGGTCATAAGTGGGGCTCCGTGTTTTCGGAGTTTCTTTTTTTTAATTCGGGGGGTGTTTGGCCGTAGTTTATTCCTTTGGAGGAGACGAAGATATTCGGAGTTTGTGGAAGTTCATTTCTAGTAAATCTCCAATTCTCCAGAATTCGTTGTTGGGTTTTGCATTAGGCGTTGCAGCAAATGTCTTCTAAATAATTTTGTTTTAATGGAAATACGTTGCACTGTTGCCAATAATCCTGTTTCTCCATTCTTTCACTTTATCTAACTACACGTTCATTTACCTCGTTAATAAGGATGTTGATGTGCATATGCAGTAAACTCGCCATAGGTTACCATCGGGGAGAACACTAGCCAGTCATGCTGCTTCCCTGCTTTTTCGTCCCGCCTCCCTCATCATAATGATGAAAAAAGAAGGGCCTTAATATAATTATTTTCAATACTCCAAAATCTTAGATGAAATGATATCTGAACACGTGAACATATGAAGGACACTTTAGACGTCGGGAAGGTTAGAACACGCAAACACATACAAGCACAAATACTTGAAGGCAAAACGTTATGGTTTATTCTTATCACAACCTTAAAGCTTACTGTAATAGGCGTAAGCATACTAGACGAAGTTGATGCCGATGATGCAGTTGTGCTTCTTTCGAATAATGATTATCAGCTTTGAAGCTCTCCTTTGGACTTAGAAAATGCCATTTAAAATCGGATCTTAATGGATATATCCGAATCGTCAGAAAATTTACCGGCGATTCTTTATCCCATTTTTTTCAATTTATCAAAAAAAAAAAAACACACAAAGCGTAGTCATAACATAAGATACCTGTTGCGACGAAAAAGAAAAAAAAACAATGTGGACAATTTTTGTGTCAGTGTCTTTTTCATTATTTAAAATGAAGTCCTTTGTCTGACGTGAGGGTTAGAGATCTTTAGAAAATTGTTCTGAGCTAAAGTGTCAAAAACACGTAAAAAAAAAGGTGGCATACATTTACAATGACTAAGTGTGAAATTTAAAAAAAATGAGCTTTTAGCTTCATTTTTTTTTTGCCCCGCCGTGGTGGTCTAGTGGCTAAGGTACTCGGCTGCTGACCCACAGGTCGCGGGTTGAAATCCCGGCTGCGGCGGCTGCATTTCCAATGGAGGCGGAAATGTTGTAGGCCCGTGTGCTCAGATTTGGGTGCACGTTAAAGAACCCCAGGTGGTCGAAATTTCCGGATCCCTCCACTACGGCGTCTCTCATAATCATATAGTGGTTTTGGGACGTTAAACCTCACATATCACTCAATCAATCAATCAATCAGCTTCAATTTCTTCTCTCTTGTGAACCTATATGAAGGTGAATTGAACGATAACGGAGTTCTCAAGCAGTAATACGTGACCTAGCTGAATCTTGTTTCACGTTATGCATGGTGCATGCGTAGATTTGCACATAATTTAGTTGTTCTGGCGTGTGGAATTCTTGCTGGGCAGATGCCGTCGAGGATGAAAATTAGGACCAAGAAGAAATTTCATTTTATCATTCTCAATTTTTTTAAGTGTCGCCAGAGACGTTTTTCCGTCGCGCCTGACGTGCCCCTGGCGTCCATGCTGTTTGTGGCGCATACAGCTATATAAATAGTTATATTTCAGCGCAGGGACATGTGGGACAGGTATGGCTTCCCCCAGTTTTTGCTTGTGTAACAGCCCAAAATCATACATACATACATACATAATACATACATACATACATACATACATACATACATACATACATACATACATACATACATACATACATACATACATACATACATACATACATACATACATACATACATACATACATACATACATACATACATACGCCCCGCCGCGGTGGTCTCGTGGCTAAGGTACTCGGCTGCTGACCCGCAGGTCGCGGGATCAAATCCTGGCTGTGGCGGCTGCGTTTCCGATGGAGGCGGAAACGTTGTAGGCCCGGTGTGCTCAGATTTGGGCGCACGTTAAAGAACCCCAGGTGGTCAAAATTTCTCGAGCCCTTCACTACGGCGTCTCTCATAATCATATGGTGGTTTGG